CTCAGTAGCAGACTTCAAAAAAAAAAAGCTATCATTAAAAGAAAATCGAAACAAGTTTTGAAAATTAGTACTGATCAAATGAAAGCAAAATACTACTGAATATATGTAGGGACATCAAAGTTAACTGAACAGCTTTAAGTGCAGTTCAATTATTGCATCATCAAAAAAAAAAAAAAAGCATGCTTGAAAATGCATTTTAACAAACAGTAAAGCAGCACCTTATTCACCTGCACAGTTTTAAGTTTGCATTCAGAAAGCTATTATCTATAAGTGACTATAAGTTGCCAAGGCCTTTTGGAACAATGACTCTCACATAAATAAACCTTTTTTAGAGATTAAAAATATGTCTGTGTGTAGTGAAGTATCCTTAACTGCAATAGAATAAAGCGAACCACGCTTCCCATTGTCAGGCAAGATACAAACTTTAGTACATCGATCCAACAGTCCTTATGTTTCAAGGCAAGAGAATCTAAAAATGTTAAGAAGTTGCCATAGTAAATATTAGGAATAATGTGCTAGAATATAGCTACAGCACAAAGCAAAGGCAAACAGATTCAAACTACTACCACGTCACTGAAATATAATTTTAATATGACCCTAAAAAAAATTATTGCTAAAATGAACACAGCAGATGAAACAACTTAGGCCCCACTCAGCAATGCACTGCAATGTACAACAAGGTAAGTTGGAGCAAAAAGACTATCAGGATGTCCACTCATATTCTGGCTTGCACAAAAGCTAAAGGATTTCCCTTCACAATGATAATCTGGCAGGGCATTTGGGTCTGGTCACAGAGACCTACCAAGAGGTTTGGTCTCCTTCACCCTGACATATAAAGTCTTTGGAACAAGTATGCAGATTTACTGCTTCACTAGACCAATAAGAATGAAATTCTACTATTAAGTTGTATGGTATTTTTTAAATGAAAATAACACACTTACATGAGATGAATTCCATCCTAACACATCCCACACCATTGAGATGGGTGGAGAAAATCTCAGGAGAATGCCACCACTCATGGAGCTGTCAGAGGACAAGCCCAGGTAAAAGAAGAAGGTATTACAGCTCCAGGCACATCAGTACATCTTACTGGCAAAATTGTCCATCGGTATCCACAATTCAGGTCTCAGCAGGAAGTTACACCACTTCCTTCCAGGTCATTCCATATCCCATTCATAGTTTGGATAGAGTTAAAATCGCAAAAAGCAGCTTCTCTGTGAGGACAAGCTGTGATTTCTTGTCTTCTACTAGGTATCAGCAGAATAGAAGACACATACAAACTCAATGTGTTTTCCAGGAGGTGGTGGAGTTGGACAAGACAAGGAGAGGGGTGACTTCAGTCTGGTAGAATAGTCAAATATCAGATCTCAACTGGAAAAGATATGGAAGACAATGAGATTTCAAGCTGTGGTCCTTCACTGGGACTCTACAGAGTGCTAGCCTATAAGAACAAATACTGATCACAAGCAATTAAGACACAGCTATTGAGTACTGGCTAACTGGGAGGAATCACCAGATCCAGAGCATCAGGATTTCTGTTCCTTCACAAATGCTGAACCACAAAATGAACAATAGAATACTCTATACAAATATGAACAACATTGGCTATCGCCTAGCCAAGAGAGCAACCAAGAAGCACTGAAGGCTCCTGAAACCCAGTTTCTGACCATGGAGCCTCCGTAGTTTACAGGAACAACTTCCAGCACATTAAGTTACAGCTAATATATCAGACCCAAGTATCTCTGACATATGTTCACATTCTGCATGTGAATCCAGACCAATTTAACTGACTGTTTATCTAGTAGGACTGAAAAGGATGCTCAGCACATTATTTACCTCTAAAATTGAGAACTTCTGTGTGATTTCCATAAAAATGTGTATAGAATTAATAACTTCATTGGATAATTCACTTAATGAATAATTAAAATAATAGCAAGACCTGTGTTCAAGTTTTTCAGGCAAAACAGGGACTCAGATCTGACTTCTGCTGTGGCTCCTACCAACTGGGTGTTAACTACTCTGATTTCTCACTTTCCCTTCCTCCTGTTTCCTGCTTCCTTCTCCATGAAAAATACACTTGCAAAGTAAAATTATTTCAGTGGGAGATACATAGGCATAACAACATAGATCCAAAATGAGTACCTCAAACAATAGAATATCACATATTCTGAGCACAGAAAAAGGCTTATAATGAATAACTGAAAAGCTCCGTATATTGGCACTGCCATTGCAGCAAAAGCATTTGTGAAATGTCAGGACTTTTCAAAGCAAAATGTTTTCAGGAAGTTCTTACTACAACTGGTCAAATGCAAGAACTATATTCATGTTCATAGTTATATGGCCATTAGTATAATTATCAATAATGACAGAATTTTAACGAGTTCTATGACTTCAAAATTTTATACAGTTTCATGTATTCACATCAAGAAAAAAATACAAGTACCTGCACTTTATAGGAAGTTGTATGAAACCAACAGAGAAGAAATTTGACAGAGCTTATATTTGTGCATGATCTTTTTTTCTGAATATTCATTTGTTATATTGAGTGAAGGACTGAAAATCTTTGCAAAAAAAAGCTTCCCACTGGTATTTTCTGTGTTCTCCTAAGACTTCCAACATCTTTCCCATTATTCAAGGAATCCATTATATAGTCATTCAAATTCTGTAATGCCTGAACTCTACGCTTGTAGCTTACACTGAAAAGGAAAAAAATAAGAATGTATTTAGCAGGTTTTAGGATCCTTGTCAGTTCACCTTGCAGAATGGGAAAAGAGACAATACGGTTGTACTGCTTTGAGTCTTTTTAGCACAAACATCTCAAAAATATACCTTTAATATCTTTAAACTCACTAGTGAAGCATCACAACTACAATCAAACTCAGAAAAAAAGAATAAATTACCAGAGATTCAATGAGTAGCTGAACTTCTTCGCTTCCATTCTTGAGAAGCTGTTTTCCTATTTTAGTGCTTTTATATTCTGATATCAAGAAGCTGAGCTCCATAGATTTTCACTTACAGCAGCAGCAACATCAGGACTGTTAGAGCAAGCACAGCTTCCAGAGAGTTGAACCAAAAAGAGAGAAATGAGATGGAGCGACCTGGATGGACGATCTTCCTTCCAAACAAAGAACATCGTTTGGAGGTTGTCTTAATCTAAAATTGTTACTTGTTTTTCAGCATTTTAATTCCAGCAAAATCCTCCCTGCTCACATCAGGAAAAGTGCTTTTGTCCAAATAATCATTTTTATTTGGGGAACTGATAGAACTACTCTGCACATAACATTTGTCTCTGTTCAGGAATAATTTTTTTTCTCTCTCTCTCGTTTTTGTTTTGTTTTTTTGTGACACCATTGAGAAGAACTTTTTTTTACCACAATTTTTTTTTTTTTACCAGAAATTTTTTACCACCAATCTGAATCAAGTAATCTGTTGCTCAAACCCACATAAAAAGCCTAGGAAGGAGGTAGTAGCTGCCAAGACAGTTAGGACTTCATGGGATAAAAATGACTGAATGTGATATCTGGAATAATAGGACAGGATTTAATATTACTCAATACAAAAATATGTTCTTCGGAGCATTTAAATTGCAAGATACAAATTTAATAGTTGGAAAGTGGCATGTATGTGTATCTGGAACAACCATACAATGACTATGTGACACCACCATGGCCACAAGGAAAAGCAAATATAACACTAAAATGAATCAGGACAAAGTATATTTAAAATCTCTCTTACAGTAATATGAAAATCACTCTGGTTTTCTGTGCTCAAAAGAGTTGAGCTCCCATAAAAAAAGGCAGAAGTGGGACCTTGTGGAACAGCAAGACTTCTGCAAGGGCACATCAAGACTGCTTACTTGCTCAGCATCATATAGCAAAGTCTGAGAATTACACCTCTCACTAGGTATGTATAGGAGATAGATGTGGCATGCAAACAAAAGACAGCTTTAGCATATGAATAGACATATTCTTGCCATGAATTTACTGTGGAAATTGGACTGTGGCTTTTACCTTCCATTAAGCAAAGTGAGAAAACAATGTTAAAAAAAAAAAAAAAAAAAAAAAAAAAAGGGTGGATTTGGAGTTTGGCAAATGTGTTAAGAAGTTTGCATGACATACTTGCCTGCAAGAGAGAGAACTAGAGCTGATGACTCAAGACACCCACTCTTGTACTGCCTCTCAAAATCTGCACATATAAACAATAACAACCAGCAGCCACACTAATCAACTGTTTTATCACTGTCATTAGAACTTGAAACAGTTTCCTAAAGGCCCTCAGTATCATTATCCACATTATGCACAAAGGGAACCAGAAGTGATGCAAATTACCACAGGTAACAAGGAATGTCATCAGCAAAGTTAGATAGAAATAAATAGCAGACTTCTCAAATCCAGATGTACTGCAGTCTTAGTACAAAGTAGTATTGGTTGACCCTTGCATTAAATCACATCTAAGAGAAACTAACAAACAAGCAGCATAAGATATAACCTGATTAGATACTGAAGGCCAGAAATCTCATTGGCTTCAAGATCAGGCTGAAAGCATGAATAACAAGATTTCTGTAAGGTGGTGCTGATGACAGCTGAGGACCTGGCTCAGTGATTCTTTCAATGCAGTGCTCCTAATTGAAGTGTGTCAAAATGCCCGTTAAACAGGAAATCCTTACTGAAAACCCTCGCTTTTGTCAGGCCAGTCTTGGAGAACTGCTAAGAAACTGAGCTGAGGAAACGGACCAGTTCCTGTGCAGTACACTTTTTAGAACAGAAACTGAACACTGAACAGGATATGAAAATGAATGAATGCCAGTTTCACATTTTAACAGCCAGTTTTATTACTTTAACAGGGAGAGGACTGTGTGCTTCAGCTCTCAACCCTCTCACTTTTTTTGGAGCCAATGTCAGAAAAGGTCATATTACAAAATATAAACAAATTACTAATGTGGATCACATTTCCTCAGACTGCCCATGTTCTTCAAGATGTTCTAGACCATATCTTCTCCTACAGAAAGAAGCCTATCAACTAAATCCTAAGTTTCATTTACACCTGTGGGATATACTCTGCTCCCAAGTCTGATTCCTACATCTACTACATATTTATACAGAGCTCCCAAAGCAACAGTAACCAGTACATTTCCATTTCTGGCTACCTGCACCATATCTACATACACATACATACACAGTGGGTGCTTATCTTCTATGGATCCAAACTCAAAAAACACAGGAAAAGTCAGTTCTTACATGTAGTTAATGCAGCATGTCATCCCTAAAAGTTTCGGCCTGGAATATCAGAGATGTGTGAGCAAAAACCTATTCATTTCCAAAGTTATCTGAGTTACATACCATTAACATTTTGAGGCTCTATCAGCTGCAGCCTGGTGCTCTAGTTGTGCACCAAGCTTCCTTGTTAGGGGTCTCTGACCAGGCTAATTTTGCATGTGGCAATAACCACCTAATCAATTCATGTCTTTCTAAATCTTAATGGAGCACCTGCACATCCAGACATGAATCTTCTTCCTGACATTCTCCACAAACATAAATTACAAGTTTACTGCACAGTCCAGACAAGCCTCAGTGACCCCTTGAAAGGGCAAACAGAGGTCATGCAACAATCTGATTTTCAGGATCCAATTCTTCCACCCTTCCACTTTCTGAATTTTAAAGCCTGTAGTTATAGTCAGTATCACTTTAGAGTCCAACAGGAATGCATCACTGAAGTGACAACTAGTTCCTAGCTAGGATAACATAAGAAATGTTTCCATTAGCAGGTATTGCAGCATAATAGGGGCAGACATAGAATAAAACAGTTGGTGCTGAGTGCATAAACTCCATATTCTATGGGAGATGGGAGTAGCTATGGAATACCTCAAGTCTGGTCTGAAGGACTATATATGCTCTAACAGCTAGAGCGTATCACTCAGTTTAGTTTCAGTTGTAATTGCTCCACTTTGTATGCTCTAATTAGGGGATACACTTGAAAATCACACTTCCAGACAAAGCTAAAAAGCCATCTTACTCTTGAATATCTGATCAGTTAACTGAAGTGGCTGTGTGAGAACACTGGTGGTTATTCTTTGCTTTAAAAGGCTCTTAATACCTTTAAATACCTAGCAGCCTCCACCTCCACTCAGTCTTACTATGTCTTGGCTAGTTTCCAAATACCTTAATAACAACACTCAAAAAATAACACCAATAAGATCTACATAGGTAAGGACTATCTGTCATATCCCAGTTACATTTGCATCTCAGTCATCTCTTCAAAAAACTGTCATTCAGGGCTCAAAAAGGCTTTCCAGTCCATAACAGAAAGTAATGGAAAGACCAGAAGAGAAATCAGATGTCATGAGAGAAGTCATGTTTTTCTTTCAAACACAATGCCTGAAAATTACTCTCCACATTCCTCACTCTTACCTTTTAAGACAGAGTAAAGAATCAAATTCTCCTTTCCTGTTCCATGCTACCTGTTACTTTATATGCATATCCCACTTGGCTTTTTGTTCATACAGAAAGTTTAATTTTCTTTTGTGACTTCTCAGTATCTACCCCTTTTTGAGACACACCAATTGTTTAATCTTCAATCCCCCAACACTGAGCCTTTCATATCTTTTGCCATAATCTTCAGAGCCAATAATTCTGCTAAATTTTCTATCACCACCAAGCTTTTTTAAGCCTTTCCACCATAAACTTGTAATTTTCTGATGAAAAGGAACCCAACTGCTAATAATTTCTCAACTCAAGACAGCTTGCCAGCTATTATCTGAGCCAGAACCACATGCTGCACAGAAAGGAATGTTAAACAAAAGGCAATGCCAAACAAGTGACCTCATTCCATGCCTGCTGCTCTTGCCCTGCTCATATCTACAGCCCTCTCTGTACAGGTAAAGAAACCCTTTGGTCATTTCCCTTGTGCTCACAGCACTGAAGACAAGGGTAACCCAGCCCACATCAGAGCAAGTCTTCCAGCTGAGCAGACAAGAAAACATGAGGTGAGCTGGATACACCTTCTCAAGTTCCCTGACTCCTTAATTTCCTATTAGTGGTGCCAGTAGGAACAGTGCTACCAAATGGCTCCAGCTCTGCTCAGTACACTGAGTAACAGCCCTGAAGACACTTATATCTTGCCCTGATGTACACGGTGGATCTTACCACAGCTTCCTCATACTCCAATCTTCCTTCTTCCTCAAAGATCAAATCTGTTGTGCCAAAGCTCACACCAACCCCACTATTCTTCTCAACCATATACCTACTCATTTTCTGGAAATTGGGAACTGTTACCCTATTATGCCAAATTCTATTTAATAAAAAAAAAGTTAACATCATCAAAGACATGAGTTTCAAGTGTACTTCACTTCTTAAGGCTGGAAAAGGGTTGGACTGGCCAAAATGATTAGGGTTTCTATTTATGCCATCATTCTCTAATGGAGAAAGGAAGGACAGATACAAAGCAGGGGCAGCAGGACTGAGGCTCAGTAAGGCTGAAGACAACCAGCCTTGAAGTTCAAGACAATCACCATTCAAATATCATTTTCTTCAGAATGGTCTTCCCCAACGGCCAGTATTTAGCCACACAAGCATACTAACTTACTAAATGTGAAAAGACAGGAGGAAAAAAAATAACTCAAGGCTGATCTGAAAAAATACTTAAAAGATTTACATTAAAATACTGTGGTTGCTAACAGGAGGAGTAAATTGGCATAAGACAGAGAAAGAACTTAAAAAGGAGTAAACAAACATTTCTGAAACTAAACCATTATTTGAACAGAACTGAAACAGTTAGAAAGCAATACTGTGATAGTCTAATCTGTTTTTTGGAAAAGTAAACTCAGTCTCTGTGATCTCTGTAGACATAAGCAGAAATGTCACATGCAAACTTTGTCTACTTCCTCTCTTGTGTCAGGATTGTTAAAAAGTTTAATCATTACACTTACTACAGTGCTGGCTTTGTCACAACTAATGCAACTACTGACAGCCTAAGGAAATCACAGACACATGTGTTAACATGTAAAAAAATAACTGAGTGCCACAAAGGACCAGATTCCCCTGCTGTCAAGGTCAATGAAGTCTGTGAGCATTATAGGGGTGAGACATTCAAATCTCCAGGGATCAAGATTAAAGATGGTATTAGCTTTAGAAGAAGTAGAGCATCTTGTTCTTCAGCAGGAGGTTTACTGCATAATATGCTGCCTTAGCGACTGATGTGCAGTACAAAAACATCAGATAAGGCTGAATTAAAAGCTGCAATGAAATGGACAACATAGGGAAACGAGGAAATTAGGAATTGTCTTTTCCTTACAAGCACTTAACTACTCAAGGATCTCTGGAGTTACTAAGTCCTGATGTTCAGATTTTGGGCTAATTAATTTTTTGGCATTCTAAAAACTTAATTAGCTCCCAAGTTGAGTTACTGTGGAAGAACATTTTATTTCATTTTCTTTTTACTGTATGTAAAACAAGGGCTTCAAAAATACATTCTCATTAAAAATAATGAGTGATTTTGATATTGCTTAAATATATTCAAGTGACATTGGAAAAAACCTGGGGGAAGGAGAGATCATAATTGTTTAGTTGCATAGTACCATAAAAGAAAAAGCCAAAACCATACATTTAAACATCAGAAACCTTCCAAATAAACCAAGTCTTGAAGTCACCTACATTTTAAGACAAAAACACTTCAGTCAGATAAGAGATTGATGCCTACAACAGCTGCTAAAGAACACTTTTTATATTTGTCTTCATTACAAACTGATTTATTTGTTGTTGCATAAACTGCAGTACAAAGCAGTGCATGTGCTAGTCAATACTGGAGCAAAATGTGAAAAGAAATTAACTGTCAATTCCGTGCTTATACTTACATAGCTGTTTTAGACTCCAATTAAGATGTTCAGTAAGTGCATATTAACATAAGGTTTTACTTCTGCATCTGCTGACAAGAAACAGTAATTGCCATGGATTAAAATGAAATTCATTAAACACTGCACTATATATTTGAAGATTATTTAATTATTTCTTAAATTGCTGATGTTTTTCATAAGAAATTTGCCCTGCTACTTAATCTGAATATTATATCATAAAAAGAAGGTAAAACAAACTAGATACTTCTTTTTTATTATTATTTTAAACAGAAAAAGGCCAAGAGGTATTCTTCTAGATTGGAGACCACTCTAAATTAAAGTGCATCTTACGTATGGATGTGTATGCACCCCATCAACTCAAACACAAGTGTAACCAAATACAGGTTTAACAATATCAAAGTAAAATTTACTAGTGCCAGTGACATAAATGAATACAATGACTTCAAAGAAGTTCTGAAGTTGAATGACACAGTTCTAACCTAACACAAACATGTGTTTTAATTATTTCTCTGTAATACTTACCTTTGTTGCTGTTTTTCAAAAGGGAAAACATATCAGAACATCTCTATCAAGAAATTTAGATGACAAGTTGATTCAATTCCCCTTAAAGTCTACAGGTTTGTATCCAATTTACAACTAGCATTCATTTCTCATGCACGAGTTGATCCATTTAAACAGTAATTTATTAAATTCTAACCTTCTATTTATTAAATGCTAACCTTTAGGTACATCTCTAGATGGTTTGTTTTATTTCCACCACACAACTCCATTTATACTGTCAATACAGTTAGCAAGGTTACAGTCATTCTGTCAGTTTTATTTATTTCAATTAGAAATTGAAATAGAATCAGAAAGACTATTCTATTCTCTGTTGGAACATCACTGAAAACTTTTAGAAACTTTGGGATATATTTTAACTCTTCATAAAGTTCAACAGTTTTTGCAATCACTTAATTTCATATGAAAACAGTTATACAGAAGAAAATAAGGAATATTAACATTAATTTCTTATATTAAAAAGACTTCTGAAACCGCAGGGAAAAAAAATAATCATAAAGCATTACTATCCATTAAAAAAAAAACCTTATTTTTAAATAGAGTGAAAATGTTTTTTTTTCTGATCGAGTCTAAGAACAAAGCCAGATGGAATAAGATTATTTTAAAAGGACCTATAAGAGTGTCACATCTGCTTCCTTCAACTACCACAGATCCACTTAAGCTAAAATATTTCCTCTCACATCTCTAAGGACAGTTTCAGCCTCACAGTTGAGAGGATTCTTTGAGCAGTTTTCACTGCTCACTGTTGAGCTGTTGAAAGAGATCCTTCTCCAGCAGAAATTGTCCCATGGTCACATGCCATTCAAGCCCAAATACTCAGCTCTGACAGCCAAGCAGTTCCATTTTAGACAATTTGATGATACAGAGGTGGGTTTTTTTCACATATTTGTAGCTTACCATAAGTTCACTATACATTTGGGTTTAATATTTCAATGGACTTACCCAAACACCCATTTGAATTTGCACACCTAATGCTTTTACAGGCAGTTGGGATATAATAGCTGAAACTATCCACTGATGACCATTATAAATTCCTGCTTTTAACACTAACAGCTTTTCCAAATACAGTTGCCTCTCTTGGGCACAATTCTGTTTTCCAGGTACTGATTGGAAAAAATCCTCCCGTTCTTTCTGTTGAAGAGTTATGCATCTTTCCATTTGTGTCATAATATAAGTCATCTTTCAACACGTTACTGATACATTCTAAAGCTTTTCCTGCTCTGAACCAGGTAGCTGATCTTTAGCAGGTGAAGAGCATCACCTTGTTATGGATGGATACTGGCTTTACTACACCCATGGAATACAACCTAATGTGACTTACTCCTGCAAATTTTCCTGTTTGCTACATTATTCAATTCTACCTGTACTGACAGATCCCTACACAATTACTGTAGTAAGTAGATGACCATCCAAAAAGTATTCTTCATCTTGGCATTTTAGATTCAAAAAATTACTTTTTTTTTTCCCATGTGTTTGGATTTATTGTCATACACATCACAGGGATTAAGAAAACTGGGAGACTGGGAGAAGGGTATGTGGACAGTGAAAGAAGTCAGTGTCACTCTGGTGCAACAGGACCACACTGCTCCAGATTCTCAATGATTCCCTCCTTTCCAGTAAATAGCTGTAAAATTCCTTAGCAAAGGTGTGCCTCTCTCTGCCTCTAATGGACAGCCAAAATAGAAGGCAAGGGTTTACTCTGGGACCACTCACTGGTTAAATGTGAATACTTTAATCTCTATGGTGTATTTCTTTATGTAAATAAAGCTGCATAAAAGAGCATTCCAACACCTTCCCATTTCTTAAAACATACTGAAAATAATTTGATTCCATACAGTAAAGAAGTGAGAAAGAAGCTTTAAGGAAAAGTCCAGAAGGAAGCTACTGGTTGTTCTCACAGGAACATTTTATGGTGTAAAGGATATTATCTGGCACAGTAAAAATATAATAAATGAAAAAGTATCACAAGGATGAATGCTTGTTGACTACTCTACATTCAGAACAAAGTAGGAAGAAGTGAAGAGAGCAAGAGGCCATTATACAATTTGATCTTTTACTGAAAATGTAGGAAAAGAATTACAAAAAGAATACAGGAATTACAAAAAGAATACAGGAGCTGATTTAATATAGTATTTTCCTAATTTTAATAATACTTTCATATAATAATAATGATTATTAATTAAAGATTTTTTCATAGAATCATAGAATTATTAAGTTGAATATACACTGAAGTTTGAAAAGCATCCTCAAAGCTCTCCAGCTGATCACTTAGCATGATTTCTGTCTAAACAGATATGAAAGGTGGGCCCAGGTGAACCTAATGAGGTTCAACACAGCAAAGTGCAAGGTTTTGCACTTGGGCCAGAGGAATCCCAGGCATCCATACAGGCTGGAAGGAGCGGTCCTTGAGAGCAGCCCTGCAGAGAAGGACCTGCGGGTCCTGATGGATGAAAAACTTAACATGAGCCAGCAGTGTGCCCTTGCGGCTCGGAAAGCAAATGGTATCCTGGGCTCCATCAGAAGAGGGGTGGCCAGCAGGGGCAGGGAGGTGATTGTCCCCCTCTACTCAGCTCTTGTGAGGCCCCATCTGGAGCACTGTGTCCAGGTCTGGAGCCCCCAGTACAAGAAAGACAGAGAGCTGTTAGAGAGAGTCCAGAGAAGAGCCATAAAGGTGATCTGGGAGCTGGAGCAACTCTCTACAAAAACAGGCTGAGGGAGCTGGGCTTGTTCCGCCTGGAGAAAAGAAGGCTGCAGGGTGACTTCATTGCAGCCTTTCAGTATGTAAAGGGAGCTTATAAACAGGACAGGAGTCAACTCTTTGAAAGGGTAGATTTCAGCAGGACATGGGGAAATGGTTTCAAGTCGAGGAAGGGAAGATTTAGGTTGGATGTCAGGGGGAATTTCTTTACTATGAGAATGGTGAGGTGCTGGTGAGGCTGCCCAGTCCTTGAAGGTGTTCAAAGCCAGGTTGGATGGGGCCCTGGGCAGCCTGGTCTAGTTTTAAATGGGGAGGTTGGTGGTTGGTGGCCCTACCTGTGGCAGGAAGATTGGAGATTCATAATCCTCAAGGTCCCTTCCAACCTGGGCCATTCTGTGATTCTGTAACGTGTTCAGTCACCATACAAATTTCTGAAAGTTACAGAGTATGTGAAGCTATATAAGAATCTGTTTGCAGCAAATATTCATTGTCATCTAAAATTAATGTGATTCATTTTCTAAGTCATTTCCAAAGCATTTATCAGGACTCTGCATTAATCAGAAGTCAAAATACTTCAACACAAAAGTAGCAGAAAGCCGAAAGACAAGCGGGCTTCTCAGAGTCTCTATTTGTATGCATATATATAAAGCAAGACTAGAAGAGGAACCCAGAACTGGGACAAGGTTGGAAATGACTCTGTACATGTATGTTTTACTGCATAAGAGCACAGTAGAAGTTCCATCTTCTTACAGAGGTACACTTATATTGGGAATAGGAATTACATATTCAACCTCCTATCTTCCAATCAGAAAAAAAAGTGGTTGAATACAAGTGTTATTTGTTTAATTACATGAGTTACAGGCAGCATATTTGAAATGCAGTTGTGTGGAATTAAACCAAAAACACACTAAGTAATTAATAGCTCTTGAAGTTGCATTAAACTGTCAAGGGAAGAAGACAATCAGCACCATTGCGAGCTGAGTTTTGCATGTCTGCTTCATGCATGCAGCAGTTCATAAACTGCTACTCCTGTTGTGTAAAAAGATACAGTTGTCATATATGATCATATGCATATTTTATAAATGAAACAACAAAAATCATGCTTAGTAATATAGAGACAGTCAGATCAGTATGAATCACGTCAGAAGCACTGAAAATCCCAGCACTAAAATAATATAAGCTCTTTTTGTGTGCAGTTTAACATGCTTACCCAGTCTCTTTGTTGATGTGCCATGGTTGGCTTTGTGAAATGTAGACATTCATGTTGCAATGAATTTTTCTTGTTTCCTTTCATGCTATTCTTCTCCTTCACTTGAGTTCAATGCAGGGGAAAAGTCCTTAGAGACAAGTATCTGCAGGCATTACACCATGAATACTACAAATGAAACTCCAGACCTTGTTCACAGCATCTTCTGCCAATTTTCTCTACAGTCTGTTTTGGCAGTTTGAGAGACAGCCTTACATTTGAGCAAGTAAACTGGTTGACCAACTGTGCCAATACATTCCAAAAATGGAAAATAGAGCTATGTCTCAGTATCTGTTAGGACCAGTTTCTAATTACAGATGTGCAGAAGTGCACAAGTACAGTAGTAATACGACTTTAATTCCTCCTTTGGTTTTATACATATATATATATACACACATATATATATATATATACGCATATACATTTGCACCACATCTGAGGCCATGGCCAATTCTTTTTCTTCATGACTTTTTTCCAAAAAAAACAGATGTTTGGTCCTCCATCACCTCCCTTGAAGCTGTATAAATTCAACTGAAGGCAGTTAACGCTTAATATAAAAAAAAAAAAAAAAATTAAAGCATGCAACATTTCAAAATCAAAGACAGTGAATATGTAGTATTGCAATCTCTCATATTCAAATTCAAAAGCCTTTAAGAATGTTACAAGATTTTCATTTGCAAAATTCTACTGAATATCATCAAAATATATATACCTAAGAAAAATGGAATTTTACACTACAATTCAATTGTATTTTAATTTAATGTTTGAAATTATTTTCATACAAATAATCAAAGAGTTCTGTTAATTTACTCTTTGGAATTACGATGAAATAAAACTAGCTGGCTGTATTTGCAGCTTTAACAAAATCAATTGTACTTGGGTTCACTAACATCAGTGCAGAGCTCATCTCCCTCTACATAGAGAAATGATAAAATTATCTTCTCTTTGATAAGGACATTCCTTCTTCATATAAGGTCTTAACCAAAGTGGAATACCTTAGAAATACGCTTTGTAAACCAAATCTGATCTGTTTTCTTATATTCCTTTTTTACCCTAAGGCACAGTTTCCAGTTTTACATATAATTTATACCTGCTGGAAATTTACATATAAAGAAATTGCAAGACCACATTTTGCAAATTTTGCTATCTTCCTCATATGCAAAAAAGGGCACAGACATAAGCTGCTTGCTACTTGCTTCCACATGATTGAAGGTCATATTAGCATGAAGGGGGAAGTGAGAAATGAGAAATGTCTATATAGGGACTCAGTGTAATGAGGACAACCCCTATGAAGGCTTCCATGTACCTTTCCAGTAATACAATCTAACAAGACTGCTATTCAAGAACCAGCCTGTATCTTAGTGAAAGCTTCACATCACCTCAACTTCTACGGACCTTTGCTTTGCTGTACACTGTACAGAGATTTACCAGGAACAGATTTAAGATTTTATCACAAAGTATAAAACAGGCTTCAAAGCATACAGCTGGACATAAAAGTTGCAGCTCATTGCGGTGAACTGTTTTAAGTGTTTAATTTCCCCAAAGGAAAGATTATTAGATTGAGCGCCTACTTCTTCATTTAGCCATGTGTTATGAGAGATCAATAAATAGATTTTTGCCATCTTTAATTATTCTGTTATTTTACCACGTTAACCTGGAAGATCAGTTTACAGTTAGCCTATCGGCAAAATCACCTATCAAAATACATTTTGTTTTGTTTTGTTTTTTTAATCTTGAGAATACTTGCATTCATAATCAAAATCCTATCTCTCAAAGTTCTAAATAGACAAATAATACCACTAGGTTTTTAACAAAGTTAACACATTTCCCTACATGAACAGCATAAGTTTTGTTTATATTAACACGCCAACATTTTGTTTGTATTCAGTGCTAAGAAACTTCATTTGCAGCAGAAGTGATGAAAACCTTATATTTGAAATAATTGGGGACAAAGAAAACATACAGTAAACTATAAGCATTTTCACATACATTAATTAATATAATGTTTTCCTTTTTTAAAATGCCTGCTCAGCCATAGAAAGGAAGTCCTACAAACTCATCAGTAAAAAAAGCTGCTTAGTTTCTGTAGCATTCTCTATATCAATCAAGACTAGCGTGCTTGTATGCCTGGCTTACACCTCTCAAGCTAGCTCACTACTAAGCTGCAACAGCTGTAGATTGCAGTAGCTGATCCTGAAAGTCCTAGAGAGGCTTTGTGATTCTAACAAGCATGCTATACATCCACACAATTAGGCTTCTAATGCTAAAAAGAATAAGAAACATGAGAGTACATTTCTTTCTTTTCCAAGAAATCCCATTCTGTTTCTGATATATCCACCATGCTATGAAACAAATTCCATTAGTTTGGGCTAAGTCTTCAGAAGTCATATTGCTGGTGGCAAAATAGCAACTGAACTCCAACCTCCCTCCATCAGTCCACTCTCCTTCCACTCCCCCTGCTCTCTTCTCTATCATAGGCTTTATACTGATAGCATAAGATATTCTTTCAAAGATCAGAGCGCTACATTAGTTTTAATCTACCTTTCAAAACTTATTACCACAGCAAAAGACAATATTTTAAAAAGGTTTCCACTAGATAATACCTATCATTGCTATTTATTTTCATCAAAAATAGCTAAGCACTTACCCCTCAAGGCAGCAGCTACAATTTTGTTTCAAATAGGCTCTTTGAGAACTTTCTAATACTTCAAGATGAAATCAAAACAAAACTGAAAATTAAATATATATACATATTAGCATTCTTCCATTTTGCTACATATAAAAAGAAAAATTATTTTAGAATTATTAAAGTGCTTACCTCTCAATGTCTTGTACCCTTATTTAGATCCTTAGTCCATGATGTATACTGTTTATCTGCTAAATATAAAGGCTACTCTGTGTGGAATGCATTTCTATACTACAGAAATTTGCTAATTAGATTCAAGTTGTGGTCAACGCAGAATTGTCTTTCTAGGACGTAAGGCTATAAATCAAATGAGATTAATTTAAAGAAATGTAAAGAAAATGCAATTTCCTTTATAATGCACATTTTTAAATTCCATTTTATCTAGATTAATTATTTCTAATAAAGTCCATGACTTAAAATCTGTGTCACCTACACACATCAAGAAAATAAAACAACTCTGTGTTAAGACTGGAAGAAATAAATTGGCATTGTTAAGGCTGGGGTAGTCAGGAATGATAAGAGAAGAGCTGAATATTGAAACAGGAGAAAAAAAAAAAAAAAAGTTTTCACCTTTAGAAAGATATTTCTGGGTCTGGAAAGGCAGATAAATATGTTTGATTCTAGTGCCAGACAGCATCATGCATTATGCAATAAGGTCTTCTGCTAAAAGAGTAAACCCCTCATCCCAATCCAAAATAGAGCTGGGGAGAAAACTGTTTCCCATCTCACAAAACATCCTGAATTTGACTTTAATTTTCCAGATTTCAACAATGGAAAACCCAATTTGCTTTGAACAAGAGAAAGAGTATGTAAGTGAGCTGTGTCATACCATCCTAAGTGCTGATGTTGAGGGTACTAGGCTTAGAAGATCTAAATTAAATTTCTTGGTTCACCAATATCCAAAAATGAATACCATAGGCCTGTTGTAGGGTACCCCGCTTGACCTTTCCTAACAGAGCAGTTCCACACAAGGGATTAAGCATTTGAGCACTGCTCGTTTCATCTCCTTGATGTGTTCCAGAACTATTGCACACGAAAGAATCACCCCTGCTCTAAGAAGCTATGTAGGTCATGTGAGGACCTAAGTTAAGTTCCTGGTCTGAATAAAAATGTAGCTGATTAAAAGCAGGGACTCACTGAAGTTTCCCAGATCCCAAGCTGAAGTCTTAATGGCCATGCTTTTTGGCACTCTGAAGGATGCATCCTTCTGTCTCACAGATCAGAAATTTCAGTTGGCCCCAACATTAACATAAGATATGAGCTTATCTACCCACAGGATCATCTGCACAGCTCTTAAATTAACTGCCCTCCCAGATGGCCAAGGCTCCAGGAAATGAAACCTCAATTTTTCACCTCAAAGACCAGCTCTGGACATCAAAATCTTAAGTGGTGAAGATTTCAACAGGAATGGAATATCTCCATTGCTGTGACAAATTCCTATTATTTAGTGAGTTTTTTTCCAATAATTTCCCAACTTGAAAAAATATTTTTCTTTCAAGTAAAAAAAAAAAAAAAAAAAATTCATTTTCTTCTCATAACCATAATTGCAATCTGATACCATGCTAGCATTTTATCACTAAAAATGATTTTGAAAAAAAATTGTAAAAAAAAAAAAAAAAAAAACACAGAGAAAAGTTATAGTAGAAGCAGAACAACCTGGAGAGAAATTAGGAAAAACCAGTAGTATATATTCTGTATGTTCCTAGCACACACTGGTTGTTACCTGCTTTACATGTATCATAAATTGCACTATGTGTCACTCAATCCTCCATCATGTAGAGAGTTATGTGTATTACAAATGAATACAACATAAAAAACTTTTTCAGTGAAAACGTAACTGCGGAAAAGTCCTATTTTTAAATATTCCACTCTCGAAAGCACTTTGCATTCACTTTCTAAGCTACTGAAACATGTGGTGAAGGTTTTCTATTTGCCATTGCCTTCTCAACGTGTGAACACTGTCTTGCATGTATTTTCTTTTAAAACTCAGTATTAAAGTTTTATTTGATTTTTGAAAGCTTCATCTTGCAGGTTAAGATTCGACAGCCCCTGCTAAAAAAAAAAATCACTTGGCAGTTTATGTTATTTGTATAACATAATGTATTTGTATATCTAAATCAAAGATACAAAAGTATTCTTATTTCCCAGCAGATTATTGAAAAAAAAAAGAAAAAAAAAAGTGTAAAAGCATTTTGGTATAGAAAGTACTATGAGCACACTTGATGAAATCTGGAGAGGTGAACACACATTGCCAATGTGCTGTACAAGTCCACGGCATAAAGTTGCACACACTTCAAAATCTAGCATACACAAATCACTCATCAAAATCAGATTTTTCACTCTCACAGACTGCATCAGAAACATCAACAAACACTCCTTTTCTCAGACACACTATTTCTCCACCTCCAACCACTTGAGGTGGCAGTCACATACATTACTGATTTGTTCCTGAGTCCTTTTCAGTCTTTGTAACTCGGGCGTATCGGTCACAATACTGAACCCTCTTCCTTTGCTTTCTTCAAAGTCTC